TACATAAGTGTTAGCACTTGCCTGCGTAGGTCGTAAGCAGCGAGTAAGTACATAAGTGTAGTGTCAAATCTGAAAGCGCGTTTCGTTCTGGAGTGGCTCAAAGTAAATTTAAAATCAAAAGAAGTATGAATGTATATATTAATTTATTTGAGTTCAACGCTGACAACCAAGTAGGCGATGATCCATAAAGTCCTAAGTCCATATTCTGGTATATTGTTAACAATCCTAAATATCTTTCAAAATAGAAAAGATATAGAAAATAACAATACGGAATCGCTGATAACTTTAGTAACTGAAAAGCTTAAAAAACTGAAAATGGCAAATTTGTTGCTGAAAAATTAAGGAAACTTCTAACTGATATGAAATTATTTGCTAAAGAACTAATAAATGATTGAACCGTTGTTATGCTTATTATTCTGTAACAAGTGTCAAAATGTTATTATTCTGTAACAAGTGTCAAAATGTAGGTATTCAGAGCAATCAATATTTTCAAGGATACTTACAATGTAAAGCGAACATTGTAAGTATCCATCGAATTCTTTGGTAACGATGAGTCTACTAATTTCTATGTAGGGGTTACTGAACCGCTACACGGGTAACTCAAGCGGTATATGATGAAGAGACATTTGGCGTAGAGAGCCATAAAAAAGGATCAATGTGTGGGTTATATTCAGAAAAGGAAAAAACTAAAAAGCTAGCGAATGGAACTGCCTTATGTAGCAAAAATGATTTGACACTATCTGCAATTAAGCTATGACGTGGAAATCAGGAAAATGTTGATTTTATAGTAAGTAGGAGTAAGTAATGATGAGAACTGCCAAATGGGTTTTTTTCGTTCATGTACTCTCAACTGATACAAAACCATCCAATGAGCTTTGTACGAATCGTACGGTTCATTTAATTTAGGGTAAAATTAGTTATTAACCCTAGATTACGGTAAGTAATAGTATACGTAAGATTGACAATATTCTTCGTATTTTTTTATTAATCTCCGGATAACACAATTAAGTGGAGGTTTCAGTATCCTCCTATTTAGTGCACTGCTAGAAAGCGGTCATAATTGAACTTCGTTAGATTGTTATGTTGATTATATCTTTCACATTAATATACTGACATTTATTTTGAGATATGATGTTCCTTATTTTTTATATTTATTCCATTCCTTTTTGAGAAATGATTTCACACTGGAACTTACATACTGGAAGATAGTGCTCCAGATTCATGTGCGGATAGTGGCCGTGATTGAAAACAAGATACTCTGGAAGTAGAATCCATAGAGGACTCAAATGATAGTGCAATTAAGTGGAACGACTCCGTACACCAGTCTCAACTTGAAACCCTCTAGTTAGGTTTCGAGTGAAACCAAATATTGCAAGTTTGAAAGGAAAAAATTGGCTAAACAACCCAACAGTAACAAACTACTCACAATTATTTCATCGCATATGTAGAATTCAATACAAACTATTGTCCTGACGATATTTTTTGTTATATTCCTCGTAAATTTGATTTTTACGTATATTTTTATATTTGATTATATTCCCCAACCCAGGGGAATAATTTGTTTATCTATTGGCCGATTGTCCCCGTTATCTATTGATCCGAAGTGCAGTTTTTGCTATTGATCTTTTATAATTCGACAATTTTGTTATTATGAAGTAATTTTAAACAGAAAAAAATCACAAAAACGTTATTAATCAACAACAATAAAAAATTAAAACCGTATCGGTAATATCATACCTAAATTTTCTAGACTAACAATAAAATTGATTGAGCGATTTAATAAAACGAAATCAAAACCGTTCCCTTGATGAGGCCGTTAATTCAAGATGAGAAGAAATCAATCGCTGGCGAATTGGGTATAACGATGTGATTTTTCATCTTGATGGTTGTATAGATTTCAGAGCAGATGCTTTATTTGAGGTCATGGTTTATCTGGAGAAAGAACTATACGTACCGAAAAAGAAGTTTTAAAATCGATAAGACATTTTTTTAATCTAGTGCCAAATTGTAATTTTAATTGTGAAAGTGTTATAAATAAAGCCATTTTATACTGTAATAGTGACGGAAGTGAAAAATTAGAACTGTCGATATCAGGAAAATGAAAACTCCCAAGATGCATAAATAAAATCGATCGACCTTATTTGCCGTGCTATTCGAGAATGATTTATTCGTTTCAACGCAACACGGCAGCGCAAAACAGAAAAGTACTATTAACAATGGATAATTGCGCAGCACATTATACTAACGGAATCAATTTGAATAGCGTTAAGGTTATTTATCTTCCCTCTAACACAACGAGTGATCGATTTGTTACAGTAGCAATTTTGGCAATAGAAAAGATAAAATGAATTATTAGTTTTAAAAGCGACATGAGCTTATATTTTATTTTAAATTCGTGGAATTTGATATAAATTGGTTTTGATTAATACTGCATTAGTGATGGCGAGATAATGATTACAGAAGAAATTAACATAGATTTATCATAGATAGGAAATGTACACCAAGAAAGGTCTTAAGATAATACAGTTCAAAACACAGTTAAATATAGTTAAAAGCGACGAAAATTTGTGTCTATTCTACACTATATTTCATGCATTTCTTAACCCTCAGAGTTCCTTACACTCATTTCGTCAGTCTAGTCAGTCTAGGGAGTTATCAAACGACTGATACAGCTTATTCGAAGAGTCTCAAACTCACAGCATGTTTAGACTTATTCACAAACACGACATAGTTTTAATTTATAAAGATTACTTTACAATGATTGAAATGGTGTCTCTTAAGGATAATATAACGATTCTTTAGTAATTCTTAACTTGTTGCTTAACTTTGTTCGTGTTAGATTTTTGATAATTCCTATACTAAAAATGGGACTTCTTGCAACAGCCCTTTTAGCCGCTAGTCGCTGTGCAAATCGAATTTCTCTTGAACCACTGAAGTGTAACACAGCTTTGTGTTGCCGCTCCTTCATCCTTTAGATCAGCGTTTCCAAAGCTTGTGTACTGTGAAACACTTATGTTTTGAAAAAATGTAATTCACTTTAATTGCTACCACATTCTCAACTTATTTTATCATTATTTTGTTCTCGAACTTGTTGTATTCATCTTATTTTTGATGTTACTTGATACAATTTGATACATTTAGCAATTTTTTGGTACTATTTAACAAGACAATTTCTGCCACATTTTTTTGCCACAATTCGGGAATTACATATCGAATTCTTGAGTGATCTAACTTTTTTGATTAAGACTTTAGACCTTGACACTTTTAAACACATTCTGATTTTTTGTCAACATGATATTTGTCAATACATTTTGACAGTAATTAGGTAATGACTGAAAAATGCAAAAAAATGATCATCCTCAGTTGCTATAAATTCTGGAATCACACATTCAACTCTTGTGTGACTTAATACATTTGATTGAGATTTTAGAACCAAAAATACAAATTAGTATTAGCAATATTTTAGAACTCAGTCTTCAGTTTTTGTCTAAACTCTTGTTTAGGTCACGAAGGTTGTAATTGATTGATAGAGAACTCAGATTAATAGTTATATGAAACCAGATGGGCGCCACCGCATAACACGTTCATTGAAATTGATAATGAAATATGCTGAATTGTAGATTAAAACCTTTTTGTTATCAAATCCATGGTTGAACGCAATTTGGCTGGAAACCCGATGATGTAGTGCAATTTTGGTCTGTTTTGAAGTCTAAAATTAGAATCACAGTATATTATTTCATAATAATATAACTGTTATAATATTTTCCATGTGGAAGTCATATTAATGTCCGCGATTACGCGAGTATAATTAAAATGGTTTTCGACCGCGGGCTTCATCAACGTACAATGGTTATATTCGAATTACATGAATTAATTCAAAATAAGAACCACCGATTTTGTTGTGTAGAAAAGTTTTGTAACCCGATATTATCTGAATATTTTTATTGAAACTGACATTCAAGATGAATATTAGGGGAAAAATTCGGGACAGAAGGTGAACTAATTGAGGAAGCGACGGCAGCCGTCGAGATATTTATTTTTGAGGATAACTCCGCATCAACTGCCTATTAGTTGTCTAAAAGCGATATCATGTTTCGCCTGGTATATAGAACACGAGCAGCTATAATCCGTCAAAAACGACGGAATCGGGATGATAAACCATCCCCCGAAACTCAGCCTAGGGAAATTTCATTTACCATCGTGTCGAATGCGGAAGAATTCGCCGTTTCAATCTCTTAATAGGTTTTGAAAACAAATGGATTACAAAAAGGTTGGTTTTTTTGGGAGTATTTGTCATTCAATAATATCGTTTGTATATACTACAGTTTTTATTTTTACTTAGAATGCTTTTGCGCTTTTACTTCGAGCGAACCTCTTACAAAGTTTATAATTAAGTTCACGTTTCCGTGAATTCGAATTTTTGCAGTGGCCGCAATTTTCGTCTAAATTTTTAACCCTATTAGCTCCCGTTGATTTCGCCAGGGACTGCAATAAAAAATAATTTCCCTTCTTATACAAAAAAAGATTCCTTTATATTCGTTCCTTTACAGTTTCAAGTAGTACTTTCTTTCTTGATTATTAAAATTTTTGAAACGGATTAATCTTCTCAATCTTGTAGTTTCTAAAGAGAGGTTGGCTATAAGTGCTCTTCACGACGAACGATGAATTCAATCTCATTATCATGTGAAGGGTAACGCTCAGAAGTGTCTTTGATATTGAATACAAACAGCTTACGTAATGGGCATTGTTCGCTATAACAAAACTTTTGCGACTGTATTTTACTGCAATCCGAAAAGCGTGAAAATTGACTATAAATCTACTTAAAGTTAATGATAATAATTATGTTCGTGGAGTTGTAAAGTTATTGTTAGAAATAAAGTTTTACGGTGTAACTCGTTATATCTCAAATCTTAAATCGATTAATGTTTATCTCGTAGTATTTTTTTCTTATCTTTAAATTACGTGGTGAATCAACGTTATTACTATAAAAACTTGTAACCATGAACATTAAAAACGTGGTTATTGTATTTTCTTTATTATATAAGGGTATTGTTTGTGAAGATGATTATGAAGATTTACCAAATATTGAAATTTCAACTGGATTTCTTGAAGCTGGTTATCGTAGTTTATCTTTTAAAGGAACAACATTTACAGCATTTGAAGGAATTCCATATGCAAGACCACCAGTTGGAGAACTAAGATTTCAAGTAAATATCCCTAAATTTAATTAAGAGAAATTAATTGTTATAAAAAACATTTTTAGCCACCTGAAGAGCCTTATAATTGGACAGGAATATGGAAAGCCAATACAAAATATTCTTGTATCCCATTTATGAAAGGTGGATTTTATTCAAATTTCCTAGGTTTGTTTGAATATTAAAAAAATAGTCTTTACAAATTTTTTTTTAATTATAAGCAGATTCAGAGGATTGTCTATATTTAAACGTTTACGTTCCGAGTTATGAGCCAAATGCAGAAAATAATTTTGATGTCGTCGTTCATTTACATAGTGGTGCTTTCACCGTTGGGCATCCACATTTTGCAAGTGGGCCGAAATTTTTATTAGATGAAGATCATATCATTTTCGTTACATTAAATTATCGACTCGGTCCGTTAGGATTTTTAAGCACCGAAGACGAAATAATACCTGGAAATAATGGCTTGAAAGATCAAGTTTTAGCATTAAAATGGATACAAAAAAATATAAAATATTTCGGGGGAAACCCCGATTCTGTTACGATTACTGGTTCATTTTCAGGTGGGGCAAGCGTTCATTATCATTATTTATCTTCTCTTTCTAAAGGTATTTTTGATTTTCTTTTTACCTTTTTCGTTTTTAATTAATTTTTACTCCTTTAAAGATCTATTTCATCGTGGGTACTCAGGAAGTGGTACAGCTTTAGATCCTTGGGCTTTGCAAGATGCACCTCTAGTAAAAGCGAAACGACTCGCTGTTTTATTAGGTTGTAACCCGGTTACATCCCAAGATATATTAAACTGTGTTATGCAGAGATCGACTCAAGCTATTGTGGAAGCAACCCAAAATTTTTTCGAAAAAGGGATGCCTTTTTCGCCGTTTGGACCCGTTATAGAAGTAGAACATAAAAATGCTTTTTTAAGCAAACATCCTTATCAACTATTAAAAGATGGCCCTATTCAAGATTTGCCGTGGATCGTTGTTTTAAATAAGGATGAAGGAATATTTCCTGCTGGGCGTATAAAAACTAATTTAAAAATTAGAATAATTTAATGAATATATTTTTTAGCATACTATCAAAATATTAAAAACATCGATGAAGATTGGGTAACTTTTGCACCACATTTACTGGATTATAATTATACAATTTCTTACGATAAGCGAAACGAGATTTCAAAAAAAGTCAAAGAATTTTATTTTGGTGATAAATCAGTTTCGTTCAAAAAATTAGTTAAAGCTTGTAGTCATCGGCATTTTTTTATGGGAGCCGAACTCTCGGTAAAATTACAACAAAAATTAAACAAATCCCCCATTTACGTCCTGATTTTTGCTTACAAAGGAGATTTTTCTTATTCGAGCTTATTTAACGTACCAGTAAAAGATGCTGGGGTGGCTAATGGAGATAACAGTTTGTACTATTTAAGTTCGAATATGGTTCACACTGTACGCTTCAACGATGAAAAAATAAAAGATATTATGGTTAAAATAATTTCGAATTATGCTAAAAATAAGTGAGTCAATAAAATTATTGACTGTAAGATTTTACTTAATTCTGTTTCAGCAAACCAAAAATAGAAGATGTTGATTGGAAACCAACAACAGAAAAATTTCAGTATTTATATTTTAATGGTACAGAAAATATAATTATGAAAGAAGGTGATGATATAGGAAAAAACAACTTTTGGAAGACGTTAGGTCTGAAAGAAAATGAAAATTATTTATCTTCCATTAAAGATGAATTGTAATAACATTAAAATAAAAATTAATCATGGTAACTCAAGCAATTCTAAACTCTTCCAGAAATTAACAGATCCAAAATTTTCTAAATTCTCGACTCCATCAAAGTATAAATAATTAATTCCTTCCCCATCAGTTGGTTTGAATTCAAATCCATCAATGTGCGGAACACTAAAATGGATTAAATTTCTTTAACACGATAACTTACTTTCCTTTTTATACACTTCACATACACGAAACAATAAAATTAACTCGCTGTAAGCAAAGGAAGGGCCGAATAATAAGTTAAAATCATTTTCCTTTCCTTCTCGCCTCTTCTCGACCTTCAATATACATATCACATACAACGTACATTCTTATTATCGTCCTTTCAGAATCGTACATTATTTTGCTGCACGATTTAAATTTGTTGGATTATTAGTTATATTCCAGCTTAAGTTATATATTGCTCTATATTACTTTTCATAGAGATTTGTTGCATAGGAACCCTTTAGATCCGAAATATCTTTGATTTAAGCATAAATCGGGTGTAAACTATGCCTGTATAACCGTTTGCTGGATTGACGAGTGGTTAAACAGTCATGTCGCCGGTCCCTAACCCGGGAAAAGGAGGTGGAACGGGCTAGCACCCTACCCTCCGGGAAACTAATTATAGCTCATAGACCCACAAATTTGCCTCGGAACAGGACTGATTCAAAGATGACGTCCCTTGTAGGAAAAACTCACTGTAAGAAACCAAAAAGAGGGTGTATAAAATATAATGGAGTAAATAAAGTCATCAATAAAGGAAGCGTAGAAGACTGTCAATATGTATCATCACGTATACTAATTACTCAAGTGGGAACAGAACTCAACAACTGAATATAATATCGATATATGTAATGAGTTTGGAGCTGAAATATTTCAAAATTTAATTGCATTGAAACATTTGAACCTAAATGAACTGTTATATTTTGGAAAAACAGAACTCAGATTCACTGTTTGACGAAGTTTATTATTGCAGTAATTTGAGGCATGGATTTTAAAGGCAAAAAAATAATAGTGGAAAATGTTTTAATGGAAAAACATCTACAATAAAATTTTGTATACGTTATCATTCATTAAAATATTCAGGGGAAGATGTTAATTTAACATTTTTAGACTATAATAGAGTCTATATATTACAGAAAAACTATAAAATTATTCACAAAAAAAGTTGGGAATTACGTAGATGGGTAAAAGACGTTGACGGTAATAAACGTACGATTAACAGTAAGATAAAAAGTAATTTTTTAGAAAGTTATATTTCTATTAGCAAGAATACTGACAAATGAACTTCCAAATCTTTAATAACTGGGTCAAACAAAATCTAATTCCAGCAGTACAAAATTTACATGCAGCCAAAGAAAAAAAACACGCGTTCATTAGACAACGCCATTTTTGCAATTAAAACGCAAAAAGATATGTTTTACTTTCCGGTCTTATAGGTTGCCCAAAACTTTATCCCATACTTTCCTGGTTTAGAAGGCATATGGTAGTGTAGGCAGCCATAATACAAAATGTTCTAATCAGTGATAATTTATCTAAATCTTCTCCTGGTTCTCCCGGTCTATTAACAAACTGTAAAGAATGGAACATTATGGTGAACCTATTTCTAACCATACTCTTGCTGAAGGTGGAGTGGCAAACTACTGCAAATTGAGTCCATGTTTTGGCTTTTTGGATAAGTTTCTGCCCATCTTGTAGGTCCTGCCATTTCATGCATCACTGTATATACATCTTTATAACGTTAGAAAATGTAAAAACTTATAGGTACAGATTAAACGGATTCTCTAGGTTGTATTCTTTAGAAAAATTTTCTTTACCACAGTCATCTGAATTGGCAGTAATATCCTGATCACTCCACCATCAATTTCATTTTCATTTTCAAAAACAGCGTAAAACATTCTGCACTTTTATCAATTAACTGAGTCGATCTTTTTCCGACCGTGATTACAGAACGATTGTGGAGAAGTACTACAAGTTTCCATTAAATTAGGTAAGGGCGTGGTGTTCAGGTGAGAAACGTTTACACCAAGAATAATTTTAATTACGCATGGAGACTAAACAAGATCTTAGTCGTACTTTTGCTGAATCGCATACTTTTTTTAATACAGAAATTGTTCATACTTTACTTAGTAATTTTTAAGAAAGATTTTCAAATTTACAAATAGATTCCATTTAATACTTAATTCCCAAGATTAAAGAATCCATTGAAAGTGTAGGTCAACACAGCTTTTATAGTATAATAAACCATATTAAGATTTATTATTAAAATTACATATTCAAAAAAATAACAATAATAAAGTTTGTGTAATTATATTTAAAAGAAGCAGTTATGAAATGCCAAAATGGGAAAATATATTTAGAAAACATTATGATTGGAAATGAAAATCATTAGGCAATTCATGGTAATTCATTCAATTCTAAACTTTTCCAGAAATCAATTGACCCAAAATCTTTCCCATGTTTCATTTTTAAATCCTCATCTCCATCAAAATACAAATAATCAATTTTATCTCCGTGAATAGATTTCCATTCAACCCCATCAACATGTGGAGCACTAAAATTAGTTAACATATAAAATTACTTTAAAGAAGATCTTCAAAAAACTTACGAAGTTTTAGCAAAAGACGCAATCATTTTTGTAAAAACACTCCTAACTTTCTCATCCTCCTCATTAAAGTCTCCAAAAACAGTGGTACTGGTATAATAAATCGTGTCATCTCCATGAGAGACCCCTCTTTCTGTGTCAGGTACTCCAAATAATAATTCATAAGAATATTGTCCTCTATAAGCAAACATAACCATGTAAATAGGAGAAGATGTAACGTCATTTTGAAGATGTATAGAATTTTCAGATCCCCTAAAAAAATGTCTATCGCCAGATATTTTTATTAAGTCATGGTAAGTAATGGATTTTCCATTAGAATATTTTTCTTTTATTTTGGTTGAAATTAAATCTTTTTGCTGATAAGGAGCTGTGAAATTGTAATCAAGAAAATGTGGTGCAAAATTTAACCAGTCTTCATTAACCATATCCATATCATGATAATAAACTAAAATAAATTTTATCATTTTTGTTTTAACCCTTAAAAATATTTACCTCCAGCTGGAAAAATTCCATCTTCCCTGCTAAATCCAACCAACCAAGGTAAATCTTGTACTTTTCCTTGAAGTAATAATTCATAAGGATGTTTATCAAGGAAAGCACCTGGATGATGATGCTCAATAATTGGTGCAAATGGGGAAAAAGGCATATCGTGAACTAAAAACGTTTGGGTAGCCTCAAATAGCTTCTCATAACTAACGTCACGAACACAATCTAATATTTCTTTTGAATTTTCACTTTTGCATCCTACTAAATTAGCTAGACGTTTCGCTTTTTGAAATCCCTCCTCCTGTAGAACCCATGGGTCTAAAACCGTACCACTTGCTGAATAGCCTTTTTGAAATAATCCAGTTGATAGCGGCGAAAAATAATGTAAATGAACGCTTGCTCCTCCAGCTGATAATCCGGTTATAAGTACAGAGTTTGGGTTTCCACCAAATTTCTTTATGTTTTCTTGTATAAATTTTAAAGCCATACTTTGATCTTTCATTCCGTTATTGCCAGGAATCACATCGTCTTGGGTGCTTAAGAATCCTAAGGGTCCTAATCTATAATTTATTGATACAAAAATTACATTTTCGTCCATTAAAAATTTTGGTCCGTAAAGAGTATGAGGATGGCCTATCATAAAACCACCACCGTGAATGTGAACAACAACGGAATAATTGTCTTCTTCGGATGGGTTTTTATTTGGCACGTAAACATTAAGCCGCAAGCAGTCTTCAGTAACTACAAAGCAATTATTTAAGATTAAAAAAATGATGTTGTGATTATAATACTTTCAAGTCCATCGAGTTCTAAATGAGGCGCATTTGGTAGGAAATAACGACACACATATTTTTTATTAGCTTCTAAAATATCAGTCCAGTTTGAGATCTTTTCTGGTGGCTAAAATATTGTAAATGGAAATGAGATATAGGAAAAATAAAATTTAATTTGTTTATACCTGAAATCTTAAATTTCCAATTGGTGGTTTTGCGTAAGGAATTCCTTCAAAAGCAGCATAAACTTTACCAGTTTTTGTGGTATCTAAGAAACCTCGTATAATACCGGTTGATATTTGAACCGAAGGTTTCTCATTTTCGCAAGAAACTCCTAATAAAAATAAAATCGTGAAAAATAAAAAAATATTTACTGCGTACATTTTTTTATCTGTAAAAAAAGTTTCGAACAATTCAAAATATATTTATACTGTAATCTAAACAACTTATACTTATACTCAAGAGATATCTCTAGAAATTATATTGATTTTATTAGATTAAGTCAATAAATTGATAAAGTGTAATCAGGGCAACAACGTCTGTATTTAATTTAAGCCATCTAAATAGAAATTAATTCTGAATTATAGGTATAAAATAATCTAGCTTAGTGTCTTCTACATTACTATACTATAATATTAATGAAAAATATGATATTCACACAAATTGAGTAAGAAAAACCTTATTATAAAGGAACGAATATCATTGGATTATTTCAAATTTTAATTTCTTTTAACTTCCAGAATGATGAAATGTTTTAATTTGATGTCTGATGATCTGACTAGCTTGATGATCTCATTTCCGAAATCTTCCAAGCAAGCCATCTTACATACCCGATATAAGAGAAAACGCGGTTAAGCGTTCTTCTAGCTGAGATTTCTTGTCTTACATAAAACTTTGCTGTAAGAAAAGTACGTTACCAAAGCCCTTCAGGCCATTAAATACTAATACCATGCCCACTGCTTAAATCGATGACCTGAAGCTATCTACCACACATAATTTTTTGTGGAGCAACGTTCTTTATCCATTTTAGATAGAAGGTTTTAGATAGGTTAGTGTCGTGCTATCTGCTGACAGTCTTCATAGATACTAATATCACATTAATATTGGTACAACACCCGACCTTTGGTAAAGCCACCTATAACAACACCATGACTGATAGATCCTGATGGGATACCATCGCTGGATGGAGAATAGAATAGAATGAGAACAGTGATGATGGGAGCAGCAAAGGAGATGCTCTGAGTCGTGGAGAAAGCATTCAAGGAGGCGAGGAGTACCGCTTCCAGAATCTGAAGACGATAGAATAGAAAATGATCAACTTTTAAATGTGGAAAAGGACTTCAAGGGTAACAATACAAGAAATGCATATAGATTTATAAAACAATTAAGGCAAAGATATGAACCTAATACAAAACTCTGTAGAGATTAAATAGGAAGAATATTAAGTGATATCGAGGAAATAAATAATGCTTGGAAAGATTACTTTAAAAACTTTCTAAACATAGAAAATACAGCAATGGTAGCAACAAGCAGAATAAACATACAATGGACCTTTAATTGCATCTCCCAAGTATTGGTGAAATAATGAATGATATTCAAGATGCCAAAAGTCGGAAAACACCAGGGATTGACAAAGACCCCTCGGAAGTTATAAACTGCTTCAAAGGATATGGGTGGCGGACATGATATCAGAGTGGAATAAGTCTGTAATATGCCCTATTTACAAGGATAGAAAGAGTATATAGTTTACAAAGAGAAGAGTATCCAGCAGGATCGTAATGAAACCGATGGGCCGAGAACAACAATAGAGAAAATGAACATTATGATGTAGAGTAGATCAGGCATAGTCTTGGAGTAGATCTTGGAGTGGAGGCGGCGAGGGATAATCAAATCTAAGGATATACATAAGAACATAAAGTTCCGAATCTTTAAAACATTTTCATAAGACATCTAATCATTTCTCATCATTTCATAATAACATATTGTTGCGAGACGTGGACGCTACATCCGAAACTCCAATACAGCACAGAGGTCTTCGAGGAGCCAATACTCCCAAAATTCAAACATTGCAATGGGCACCACATGTGAGCAGGATGAAGGAGGAAGCATACCAAAGCAACTGCTTAACAGAAGAATGCAAGAACCGATAACAATCTGAAAAGCCATTAAAGTAGAAGAAGAGGAACGTACGTATTCCGTGAATGTCTTGTGCGATCTCAAAGAACGGTATGAATGCAAGTTTTAATAACTACTCGTGGTAATAGTCAACTGTATACTTCAATCATTAGATCGCCTCTTAGTACAAACTCAATATTTTCATATATTACTAGTAGCGACATCTCGTGCCTTAGAATTAGCAGCTTTACTTACAAGTTGGCGATCTTTAGCTATCTGCACATGCTTTTATAAGTCATGTATCGTATTGTATTGTGAAAATCTGTAGTTTCACTAGTACTTGGTTTTATTGTAGTTCTTGGAAGTATACGCTTTCTTACATATTACTGGGTTTAGATCACGATTTCTGCTGTAGTTTTCTCTTAAAGCTGAGAGGTTCAAAGAGAGTTCTCTAAGAGGTTTTAGTGGACTCATCTTGTCGAACATCTTAAGTCTCAATTTCTTAAATTCATATGTCTGCCTAATAAATTTTGAGCAATAACGTCGGTCGAAATCGGTTTATTGAAACAGTATTCTAATTAGTCAAGTCAAGTAATAGTCTAAGTCATGGAAATCGATTAAAATCCAATTGAAATAAATTGACTTTGAAAACTCAGTGTTAATCTCGTTTTATTTTTAATATCATTTAAAATCACAACCTGTAAAGATAATTATATTCAGGTATACATTTGGAAGCTGGAAATGTTCAGCGACGGATTAACGACATGAAATGTTACACACGCTAACGGTAATTACTCCATAGCTATATATTACATTGGACTTAGAGATATATAGATATAGAATGAATTGTGGGTATCGTCATCGATCAATTAAATTTAATGAGCACAGTCGAGTGGGTCGCTACACAATTTTATAACTAAAGTAACCCCCGTGACATGTTCAACACGCGCAATTCAAACTGCATTGCGTTTTAACAACCCCTTTTCATTTAAACACGACATGGTTTTAATTAATAAAGTTGTCGACGTTAAATGACGACTTTCTTTTATTAAGTGCGAGTGGTAGCTAATAAATGTTGATGTATTATTCAGCATCAAGATGAAATAACTTGAAATTTGATGGTTTATATCAAGAGTTATCCCGACGTATATGTCATGTTAATTTTCCCCATATGCTCATTACATCTCCCTACATGTTCAGCTATTAATAGCTAATCAGTTTTAGAACTAGGTCATTTGTTATAAGCACTTAGAATGTTTAGGAGGTAAAAATTAAATTTTTTGTTAGATTTTTCATCTGTGGAATGTTGCTGTTGGTTTTCAATTAATGTTTTAAAAAAGTGGTGGTATAGTTGAAGTTTTGTAATATAGCGCCGCAATATGGTAGACAGTTAGTACCCTTTAAATAGATTCACACAGATAAAAAGCGGATCACACGAATTGTTCGCAGAATTGGTAACAACGACAAATTGATTTCGAAGTCCCGTCACATTTTATAACTAACAATAACTGTCAGCAGACAAAAAATACTGCCCGCTTTTGATTTATAGCGGAGATGGTCACTATAAAAAAACAGAATCCACCGACGACGACGCTTGATTTATTGACTTTTCGTGGAGTTAAATATTTATGCATTTCTGAACATTAAACCGCGTTTTTACGACTCACAATTTACGAAACATTTCGTGTTATTAAAAAGTATATTTTTATATAAAAAAGATGTTTGAATGAAGGTTTTTTTTTCGTTTGGAACAAAAACTGGTTGTAATTTATTTTCATTCAAATCATTGTAACTAGGTTAAATCAAAAATGAAATTTTACCCATTGTTGTTTGTATCGCTCGTTGCTCGTGTATTTTATTTGGAAAATATGGATCGTATTGGTAATTATGTGGCTACTGATGAACGTTGGAAGGTGAACACGCTGGCTGTTCCATTATCTAATTTATCCTATTATCTCAAAATCCATCGATAAAGTACATGTTTATTTATCGACTAACATTCGTCCGATTTCCTCCTAGTCAATTTCATTTAGTCGTTGTGATTAAGTATGAGTAATATTTATTATTTATGTACAGGATGTGTACATAAATGTGTACAAATTGGATACTTTTAAAGGGAAACTCCTCTTCCTATAAGAGATAGAGGACAAATGATGATATCTTACGGTTGCAGAGATACAGGATGTTTTGAGAAAAAAGGACAAATTTGGCAAACCGTTAAATAAACCGAAACCATCTCACCAATATAATTTTGTCACCCAATACATTTAGACTCTCGAACAGCCGAACACAGAGCTCTCTCCGAAACCGTGCAGAACCCATCGACTTCAGCCTATCCGGGAGATCATTGTACGACTTATATATGTGGTACAAAAAGGAACGCCGAAACATAGAAGTCCTGTGGTAAGGAGGATATATGCAACAACTCCCTTTAGTATCACGACCGCCAACTGTAGAATTGAAGCGAATTTTATTAAATAAATACTTAGGTGTTTCTCCTGTTCTCAATTTATTATAAAACATTAGTGTGTGGAGCTTCCTTCTGTTACCAATTGACAACCATCCCGCGTCTGTCAATTTGTGTGTTACATGTGTAAGCAGTTATTTTGCACCAACTGAATGCATTTTGCATCCGAAATACAAATCGCAGGATGATAGACTGGCACTAGGTAGTTGAACCGAGATAAGATAAGAGTCTCGCATAACCTTTTCTTTAAATTGACAGGAAGGTATGATCTGTGAGGATACAGTATAGGCAAACTCATTTGAAAGAGAAAGGCCTAAACTTTTAGATCCTTCTACGAAAGGAAGCCTGCAACCACCAACAGTAATTTGTATTAAGTTTCTCAGGTCCGAGCAGATATGCCTATTACCAAACGAAGAAAAGATCAGAAACTTATATACCGAATGAAGACGAGGAATTAGCAGAAGTAGTAGTTTTAAGGGCAATGGAAAATAATCCACAGATATCAACGCGGCAGTTGAGTGTAACCACAGGAATTCCAAGAACCAAATCTAGACGGATTTTGAAAAAATTCAGAATTAAGCCATAAATACAGAACTAGCAAAGTGCATTACCTCAGACCAGGAGATCTTGAACAGCGCATGAATTTTTGCCAATGGCTCTTGGGAAATCAAGTGTGCTATATTTTTGAAAAGGAAATTTTATGCTCTCGTCGAATTAGCAAAAATATATAGGATACTCCATTTAAAAAAATTATTTTTATGTCAATAACTGCTAAAATATTGTTTTGAGGGAAAGCTAACTTATTCCATCGAAGTCTACCTAAAAAGTTGATTTGGAAATGTTTTCACTGAA